GGATAAATCTCCCCAGACTTATCAAACGGCTGTGAACATTCTAAACTAACACGAGTCTCATAAGTGTCCAGTTTAAGGGTATTACACAGAAACACACTATAGGAACATGAATCAAATATGTATTTTATTCATTTACAATAAATTCATAATGTACATCATTCTGATTGGAGCTAAGGGCATACAACTGTCTAACAAAAGCAACTACTCTCAAATTCAACATTGCATTCAGTGCTTGTGAACCCGAGATTTGCTATTTATATGGTATATTGTAATACAACATGATTCTTGATGAAGGAAGATTTGACCCGACCTACTGAGATGATGGCACGTGGACCTGACTCAGCACGAGCAACAGCTTAGCAGCCTGGCTTGACCGCGACCAAGTAACGAGTCTGTAGAACAGCTCGCTACGTCATAGCTCTCTATAGGGGGAGCTCGCGAGCTAGGGAAACCAGCTCGCTCCAGCACCTGGGCAGAAGAACTGCCCCAAAGACCAACCTTGATAAGGGTCACCTCGAAGTACCCCTAAGAGCTTGCTACAAAGTAGCTCACAGAAAGGATAGCCCGCTACGAAGTAACTTGCGACTGTGATGCGACGCTCTCAGGAAGCTTCCATCTGACGAGATCGTACTCATCAGACTACGCCACGTCTCTCGACTGACGGCGCAGTCCCTGCCCGATTGATAGTCTACCCCATGTCTCTCGACAGATGGTGGCGTGGCTGTCCCTTCAAAGACGTGTCACTCAACCAAGCGGGTAGTACATTGTAACAATCACCTGTGCAGCCCTGGCAGGTAACGGCTGCAATAGGAGCCCAGTGGCGGTTACGCCTGATTTGACAAGAACGCCCCTATAAAAGCCCTTTAAGCAGAGAGATACTCTCTCTCTCTCGAATTAGATCTGAACTTGCACTCCTACTTGCTCACGAGCTAATTTCGAGACATAGTGATCCAACGCGATCTACACTCTTAGCCTTTTATACTCTCTCTTCTTCCTCCCCAGCGTTCTAACTTAAGCTTTGGAGTATTCCTGCCGGGCAAATCCCCAGGAATCCTTCTTCTTCATCTTCTCACGTGTCGTTCGTTGCCAACAAGGAGCCAGTCAGTAGCCAGCTAGGAGTGCCCAGATCGTGCTGCTCCCGTTAGCAGACAACCCGTTCGAGGTCCTGGCAGCGGGCTACAGACAGGGCCCTTAAGTCCAGAGTCGTCACCAGCAGTCCGAGCCTATCGAGCTTGGCAACACCGAAGCGTCGAGCACCAACGCCGAACCAGCAAAGCAACAGCGAAGACGCCGGCGAGCTCGCCAAACTGCTTCCAGAGCCTCTCCCGAGCTCAAAGGAAAAGAGGAGGTATGCTCAGCTGAAGTGAAAGCTACCCCTCTCCTCTCGGTTTCTTCCCCACTATCTCCAGAACTCCTTGTTGTCCCCATGCCAAAGGATTTCAAGCTCCCTCCTCTAGACAAGTATGATGGGTCTTT